GTCTGTAAGTTTATACAAACCTGAAATCGACCATATCAAAGCATGCAAAAGCCGCGCGCGCGAAAGGTATGCGAAAGGGATCTGCTTAGTGAGTTGTATTGCATGTTGCGTTAGTTTATTCACATGCAATCCTCCCCTAAACCCCAAACCCTAAACCCTAACTAAACCCTTAAACCCATTAACCTGCATAAACTACCATCCTAGATCCAAGTACATTATTGGCGGGTCCCTTGGATCCATAGAGTTAGAGGGCCACCAACGAAATCCACGCAGAGATCTAGAACCCTAAGCCCTAAATTGCTAAGGCCTATAGGCCCTATCCTGAAAGCACGCTTTTGACCAGGAGCAGTGGGTTTTGATTTGTTGTAGTTTTTTTTTTTTCCTGGGTTTAGGGTTAAGGGTTTATATGGGGAATATTGGTGTAATATCGTGTAATAAGGAATGTGTAGGGTTCTCCAATGTCCCCCGGCACTTGGGATGTTGATTTTCGGTTCCTCCGCTGCATGTATAGTAGAAGTAGCCCAAAAGTTGGAAACCCGATAGCCTCAATCCTGAAGAGTCATGCATGGGGAATCCCAGCACTATAATTTGTCCTTAATCCGGTTTCCAACTTTTTCGGGTTAACTATAGTCTTAGGTTTCGAGTGCTGATCTTCTTCTCACTGCTGTAGAGCCGTAGAGCGCGATCCCATCATCGTGTTTGCCCCACATCCCCGAATCCTATCACTGTTTGCAAGACACCTGCCGGACAAACACAGAAAGCTATGCTAACATCCCCGGTCGATTTCTGTATTGGAAACAAGCTTCCGGTGGCCCATTGTGGAAACTCTTACACCACAAAACTTGGTAGGATGAAGATGCCATTGAAGAGGGTGATGCCAATTTCGCCGCTGAAGACATCGACTACTCTGCCATCGGAGCGTCGCAGTCTACCGCAAAGCACTGGAAGCTCGGAAAGAAGCGCGCACACAGCAACTCGGCAATATAGGGCATATACGCCTAGAGTAGGGTTTTGTGAAAATTAGATCGTACTAACAGCCCTTATACACGGAGTATACCAATTATTCCGACGCTCCAGTAGGCCACTGCGATGTTTTCTGCTTTCCTGTAGAGGCCGGAATCTTCCTCGGGTTCATTATCTTTATGTATATTTCAATGTAGCCTGAAACCCTATTCTAATTAGGCCCTAAACCCTAAACCCTAAACCCTAAACCCTAAACCCTACATTATCTTGTTTGAGAATCTTTTCTGAGCCTTTGACGTGCCACCCGAGGCAAGAAGTCTGCGGCACGGCGCTCGAACTCGTTGCAGTGGGAGGGTAAAGTTCGCCACTGGGTGGGCCGTTTGGGATATTTTTTGCTCCCGTCATTCATGTTTGGGCCAAAGTGGATCTTATTTGCATTTATTTACGAATATATTTCGGACTTTATTTACGAATATTTTGCAAATCCTTTAAAGGGCCAGCCTAGGCCCCTTTTTGCAGAAAATAGTCGAGCACCCGGTCACAGACCTTTGTATGAGCGTGCTCATCCTTTGCAACGCCTTGGTCTTTGCCTTCGAAGCACCTGGGCTTTGGAGTACCATGCTTTAACACTTTTTTTTGGGACCTGTTCCTCAAAGGAACCATTATGAAAACACAAGTCTGTACTGTTTTTTCCTGGTTACTTCAAAGCCCTAAACCCTACACCCCTAAACCCTAAACCCCTAAACTCCGAAACCCCTAAACCCCCAAACCCCTAAAGGCACAGTATCGCGGGCTGAAGCTTTCGGAAGCTTTGGGTTTTAGCGACGAGCCGATGAACGACCTCTGGCCGGGAGCTGTGGCTGGGTTGTCACGGTTTAGGGTTTTAGGGTTTAGACGTTTAGGGTTTAGGCTTTAGGGGTTTAGGGTTTTAGGGTTTAGAGGTTTAGGGTTTAGGCTCTAGGGGTTTAGGGTTTAGGGTTTAGGGGTTTAGGGTTTAGGGGTTTAGGGTTTCGGGTTTAGGGCTTTAGGGGTTTAGAGTTTAGGGCTAGGGTTTAGGAAATCTAAGTAAGATATTACTCACTATAGAGTCCTATTCAAATCAGCTTCTTAACAAGAACCCACATGGACTAAACCCTAAACCCTGGACCCTAAATTCTTAACAAGGACCCAGGTGGACTCCCTTAACAAGAGCCGAGGTGGACGTCTTCTATGCTCTGGAAATGACCTTTGGTATCATCTTCACCGTGGCTTGAATTTATGCGCAGGTTTACCCTAAACCCTATACCCTAAACCCTAAACCCTAAACCCTAAACCCTAAACCCTAAACCCTAAACCCTGGTGCAGGTCTCCGGTGGCGGCTCTAGAGGGTCTAGGGTTTCAGGTTTCGGGTTTTTCGGGTGTAGGGTTTAGGGGTTTAGGGTTTAGGTTTCAGGGGTTTAGGGTTTGGGTTTAGTTTGGGGTTTAGGGTTTAGGGGTTTAGGGTTTAGGTTTCAGTGGTTTAGGGTTTGGGTTTAATTTGGGGTTTAGGGTTTAGGGGTTTAGGGTTTAGGTTTCAGGGGTTTAGGGTTTGGGTTTAATTTGGGGTTTAGGGTTTAGGGGTTTAGGGTTTAGGTTTCAGGGGTTTAGGGTTTGGGTATGATTTGGGGTTTAGGGTTTAGGGGTTTAGGGTTTGGTGGGTCGAACCAGTGATCAACAGTCAGTGTCACGCTACTTCTAGACTAGTCCGAGTAATCATGAACAAGCCATGATGGTAGTATGACCGTCATCTTGCTGGCAGCTGCGGCTACGACGACTATGACTGCTTGTGGTTTTTTCATGCTTTTACAAGCTTTGCTACGCCGGCGACCACAACGACAGCGACCACTACCCTCCCCTACCACGACATACCACGACCACGATCACCACTACCACTACCGCCTCAAGTACCACTACCGCCACCGCTACTGCTACCGCTATGTACCACCACGACGACGACGCACCGTGAGGACATGGTCATTACGCGTGACTGACGCGTAGCAGTCCGTCCGGGCGCTGCCAGGAGGTTTGAGCCTAGAACTCAGTGTCCCGCCTTCCTTGGCATGGCACCTAAGGTGGAAGTTTCCTTTCGATTCTTCGCGCATGGCTTCTCGTTTTTTTGGGAAGCATGGAATATTCTCGATTTCTTTGTCATCAGCGCTGCCGGGCTGCAACTGGCAAAGAGTTGGTTTTGTTCGAGGAGTTTCGCGCACGAAGCGACGCGGACACTTTGCGTTAAGCTGTGAGTGCAACTCCAATCCTCGCCCCAAACCCCAGTGCTGAGCCCCAAACCTCGAGCCCGAACACCCAACGAACCACTGAGACCCTTCACCCGAAACCCAAATTAAACCCAAAGCCCTAAACCCTAGATCCTAAACCCCAAAACGACCTAGCAAAGCAGTCCTTTGTCCAAGGTCTGGCTGCTGGAGAAGCTGGTGACCAACTTGCCGGTGAACAGCCACTCAGTGTTTCTGGTTACCTTCCTTGGGCCCTAACGCCTGATCCCTAAACCCAGTGTTTCTGGTTACCTTCTTTGGGTTCATCAGCCCTGAACTTCGCCCTAAATCCACTGAACCCTTTCGAGCTCTAAACCTTTCACCGGCTTTTCAGAGACTCTATACGCAATTAATTATTTAAGAACCCCCAAACCCGCAAAATCTTCAATTCAAGCAACTCCCTAAGCCCTGAGCCCTAAACCCTAACCCTCCTACCTCAGCAAACAGCAAACAAGTCCCTAAATCGAACCTACGCCCTAAATCCGAAACCCTAGAACCTACACCCGCTTAGACTTCACCAAAATAGGAGTTGAAAACAAAAACCACACGAACCTGAACCCTAAACCGCAGACCCGAAGCCTAAACCCTAAACCCTAAGCCCTAAACCCTAAACCCTAAACCCTAAACCCTAAACCCGCAAACCCGAACCCTAGGCCAGATCTTGCGGCTTGGCCGCATCTTCCGCCTTCTTCGGCTCCTGAGGCGCGCCTGTGGTCCGAACTTTTGCATGTAGAGCTCTGGGGGTTTAGCAAACAAAACGGGTTCCTAGAAAGGTTCCTGGAAAGTTTTAACAGGGTTCTTAGAAGGTTTCTTGGGTTTAGGGCTTTGGGGGGGGGTTATTTTTAGGGGTTTAGCATGTTTTAGCTAAACAGATTCCAAGAAGTAAAAAGGGTTCCTTGGAGGGTTCCTGAAGCAAATTCCTACTAGTATAAGGAAGCAGGCACGTAGAACATCGTTTAGTTTCCTGTTTGTTCAGGTGCATCGCGTGGCCAGATGATGGTAACTCCAGATGATGGCGATGATGATATACATCGTGCTGGTGATCGTCGTAATGATACTGTAATGATAGGGGTGGTGATGAGAGCATCCATGGGCCAACCGTAATAACGTCCACCCAGGCCTCATCCGTTCCCCAGAGCATCCATGACCCAACCATGATAGCATCCACCCAGACCTCAAAGCTTATGGCCCTTACAGAAATCTTGCACAGCCTTATAGAGCCCGCATACAAGGCCTGAAGAGCCCTAACAGAACCCCCAAAGTCCTGAAATCCATGGCCAGGTTAGTGCGAAAGATCCAGGAGTTCGATGCACTCTTCCTGATGACTACGGCCATACGCAGCAGCGTGTCCGTGCTGCTAGGCGCTGAAGCTACGGGCATGCGCAATAGTAAGAGTCTTACAGGGTACTTTATTAAGGGTTCATCAGTGTGGTACTTTCATGCGGGTCGTTTAGGGAACTAGAACTTGGGGGCCGAGTAGGTAACCTTTAACATGTCGAGGGTTATGTAAGCTTACTATAATGTCTAGAGGATAACCTTTTTCGGGCTAGGGAAGGAGGTTGCATTGGGTTCTGCAAGGGTTGGAAAGAGGTCGGAATAAGCAGCAATACTATGGGCCCTTCTTGTCGGTCTATGTTTAAGTTAAGCTGCGTTGAGCTTCAATAGGCCCCCAGAAAGCATTCCAACTATTACGATCCCGAACATCCCTTGGAGTGGTCCGTGCAATCAGGAACCCATTATTTGACGTCTCGACTCGGCCCTAAACCCCTAATTACCCCGAACCGAGGATCTCTGAGCCCTTAGCCCGAATTGTAAAACCCTACACCCAGGGCTCGGATTCATTGGGCAGCCGCAGGTTTGTTTTGGGGCTGAAGGATAAGACATGGTAGTTTCTGCAAAGGTTTATGCCGCCTTCTAAACATACACATACGTTTGATGTACATATGCGTATATACCCCAAACCCGGAGCCCTAAACCCTAAAGCCCTATACCTTAAAACCCTAGACCCTAAAACGCTATACCCTGAAACCCTAAACCCTAAAACCCTATACCCTAAAACCCTATACCCTAAAACCCTAAACCCTAAAACCTTTAACCCTAAAACCCTACATATACCCTCAAACCCCATACCCTAAAACCCTATACCCTAAAGCCCTAAACCCTAACGCCCTAAGCCCTGAAACCCCAAACCCTGAAGCCCTAAACCCTAAACCCTAAACCCTAAAACCCTAAACCCCCAACAGCCTTACTTGGAAGTAGTTCCTTTTTGGGATTACCTTATAGGATTCTACATATGAAACCCCAAAAAGGAACTACTTTGGGGCCCCTAAACCCTAAACCCTAAACCCTAAACCCTAAACCCTAAACCCTAAACCCTAAACCCTAAACCCTGAAGCCAAGGCTTGGGTGGACAATGGCCCTGCTCCTCATTTGCCAGCTTCTCCTGGCCTTGGTCGTCCAGCAAACGTTGCCTCTCGGACGTGCAGCCTTTTTTGAGGCTTTGGGGTTTAGGGGTTTGGGGTTTGGGGTTTAGGGTTTAGGGTTTAGGGGTTGGGGGTTTGGGGTTTAGGGTTTGGGGTTTCGGGTTTGGGTTTTACGGTTTAGGGTTTAGGAGCCAACAGCTTGTTGTTACGCAGGGGTCCTGCGTTTTTGTTGCAGGGATGTATAGGGCTGATCATGGGGTTTTCATATACAGGGATTTGTGGGGATGTTTTGGGACTTGTTGGGAGCTTAACATTATTCTTTTTTTTAAAGCTGACCTTCTGTGTTTTTCTGTGAGGCATTCATAATGGGCTGTTTTGAGGATGACTCCTCAAAGCATGGAAGCATCCTTAATCTAACCTACAGCACCCCCTATACATTGAAGGCACTGATATCAAGCTGCAGCCCTCGAACGGGGCGGGGCTCCCTTCCTTCAGCGCTCGGAGGGCTTTCGTGTTGCAGGGTATGGGTGTCTTAGGGTTTAGGGTTTAGGTCTTTCCTACAGTCTCCATTGTACCCTAAACCCTAAACCCTAAAACCCTAAACCCTAAACCCTAAACCCTAAACCCTAAACCGTTACTTTTCTTGGGGTTTCATCCATTTCATATTGAGGATCCTGTGAGGCCACCAAAAAAGGAGCCAGAAATGAGACTGTAGGTACGGCTTAGGGCTTCCTTTCGGGGCTCCTTTGAGGGTCTCTTTAGGAGGGTCTGAGTTGCAGAAACCGTGCAGCCGCAGGAAGTGGGCTTGCACC